TGATCACCTCGAGAACCGATGAAAGTATTGCTACATCGTGGAGTGACGCGTGTTCGGGGCATTAAATACGGAGAGACGTGCGTCTAATCAAACGTTAGAAACTTTACAAAAGGGATCAGAAAATTTTCCGCCAAGAGAGGTATCTTCACCAACTTCCCGATGACACAAAGATGTGCCACCGGAAAGCAGGGGTCTACCTATATAGGGTAAAATCGATTCGTATTAAATACTCGAATAATATAGCGACGCGTGGAACCGAGACAGACGAAAAGAGAGGCAAGTGGAAACCAAGATCGTGGACGGCATTCTCGATTGGCACTGGGCAGACCCCGAAGGGAATATTGCTAACGAAGGCAAACGAATGTTTGCCACCCGATGACATTCAATGAAGAATATTCTTCAGTATTAAATACACAATCCGTTAGAGAGAATTTTGGCATTCATAGCCTGCCGTTACACATTCATCAATGGCCCCATAATTGTAATTTAAGAGGGGCTTGATCCTAGGACCTTGTTCCTCTAGGTGTAGCTATAGTGACGTCAACAACCATAGTAAGGGATGAAATTTTTGAGAAATTTATTCTACACATTGTTCTAAGCTCAATAATACTTTTTTTCTAGCTTTTGATATTCTTATTGCTGTCTTCGGAAGCCTCCCGGAATCAAGCTATTTGCTGTCTTATCTCGATTTCAACGCTAAATCTTACATTTTATTTAATTTATTTATCATTTTGGGATCAAACCGGTTCGCTTGTCTATAAAGCACGTAACAAATTTAACTGTACTGTTTTACGGGTAAATAATTACAAGCTAGAGCAAGTTGAGTGGTTGTGGCTCATAATGCAAAAGGAAGAATTTGAACAGTTATTCCTCTCTCTCTCTCTCTCTCTCTCTCTCTCTATTGCTATTTCTGTTCTACCTTGTTGCTTTTCATTGAAACTCAATTGAAGCACATTCTACAGTGACAACTACTTCCCCTCATGCCTATTCAAGTTGATATTCATAGTAGAAAAACTAAAACACAGTCGAGCTCTAGCTTGCAAAATAGCGGCTTAATTAAGACTGCATTCGGTTCAAACTCCAATAATAATCAACAGAGTCAAAGCTCTTAGGGGTTGTTTGGTAGGATTTTTAAGAAAAATGCTGAATAAGGTGTATTAGTAATGCATGATTAGTAATATATGGGTTAGTAATGCAAGCATTAGTTATGCACATATTATTTCTTAGGCGAAATACATAAATGGCCCATTTAAGTTGTCCACAAAAATCAAATAAACACCCCAATTGACCCATTTACCAAATAAACACCTCAGGTTATTTCCAGCCTGATCTTATGCACACTCGTGGCCGATAGATCTTATATGTGAGTTACACTCGCGGATGATATGGCAAACTAACAAATCAAAAAGTGACACCTGTAATTTATTTAGAAAAACTACATATAATTAGTTAATGGGACCCCCTTCTAAATAAATCAGATCCCATCCTCTCCCTCCCCCCATCTACCCCCCCCCCCCCCAAATCTTGTTCTTCGTCACCCATCGACCACCTTTACACCAAATCGGACCCCCTTTACGTCCCTCTCCCCAGCCCCTAACTTCTTCTTCTCCTTCTTTATCACCCATCATAGTAAAGAGACTTGAAGGGAGTAGTTGTTTGGTGGTTATTCGGCAGAGAGGTGGTGGAGGAATGATTTTCTGTATATTATTAGTGAGTAAAGAAAATCTTAAATTTTTTGGGGCCTTTTGAGAGTGTGGTCAGTAAAAATGGTGAGAAGGCACTAGTTGGGTGTGTAAAAAAGATGAGAAGAAAATAGAGATTCGGCCGGTGACTTGAAGGCGGGCGGCGAGTAATGGTGTTCTTACTTAAGAAAATAATGTCTGGTTGTAGGAGCTATATTGACCTAAAATTCTGCATCAAATTAAAATACATAGGATCAAAATCCAAAGAAAATATTTGGATTGACTCATAATTAAAATCTTTTTTATGTTGAATTTATAGTTTTTTTATATTGGGTATAAGCTCTTAATGGTTTGTTTTCGTTGCTGTCATTTTGCCAAAGCCATACCACTTTACCCTTCTATTCCTTCTCTCATCTGTGGATATTTTTCATGGTGGAATTTATGGGGTTTAAAATAGTGGCATTGTGGCAGAAGGTGATTTAAGGTGGAGGTGGGAGGACGGTGGTAGACAGTTTTGCAGAAAAAAGAGGGAGGATAAGTGGGATCCGCGAGTTAAATAAAAAAATAAAGATAAACATACTTTCGAAAGGTTTCACCTGCCACAAGGTGAGTGTAATACACACATTTTGCCATGTCAACTTGAAGGGTTTAAGAGATCAGACCGAAAATAACTTGAGGTGTTTATTTGATAAATCGGTCTGTTGGGGTGTTTATTTGATTTTTATGGACAACTTAAAGGGGCTATTTATGTATTTCGCCTATTTCTTATCCACTGTTTGGTGTGATGTATTAAAAATTAAAATGCATTGTATAATTTTTATGAAAATTAGTTGTTTAAAAAAATGTCCTCCATATGATTTAGCTTTAATGGACTTTAAGAAATTTTTTGTCTTTAACCATGGTAATGCATGCATTAATAGCCTTGGTATTGCTGATACCATGGTTTGCTATGTATTAGTTATATATAGGATAATACCAAATAGGTTGTATAACTAATACTTGCACTAGTAATACATAAATTGGAAAAGCATACCAAACAATGAAATTGTAATATCAAAAGCTAATGCATACATTATTTTCTGGGATGGATCCAACCAAATAACCCCTTACACTTGATCGATGCCAACCCTGTACTACTATAGAGTAGCAAGAGTGGTCGAAGCAGCTTTTACCCGAGAAGGTCGGGATCGATTTTCACAGGGAGCTAGATATTGGAATTGGGTTTCTATCTAAATTGGAGTTGCGTAATTGTTCCTAATTGCACTTCTCAACATGTTTGGTTTTGATATTACTTCTAAATTATACTAGTAAAATGCTAAATTAAGCTAAGAGTAAACTATCGAAGGTTGTCTAATTAGTTAAAAGGAACTAGGGGAGTGACTTTCTCCTAGGTGGATACTTGACGGGTTCTCGTGTCTAAGGCTAGGTTGTCATATTTGGGGATTATGGTATAACCATTGCACGACTCTACTCACTCTATTTCCTCTCGGTAGTTCGAGTGATTTTGCCCGAATTGACTTTCTCAAGATCAAATGGGTAATGATCATTTGTGCAAGCAATTGAGGTTCAAGTCGGGTATTACTATCTCTAGGTTTAACCCTTTAATTGGGGCTATCAATATCTTGAGTACGCCCCAATTCCTTGTTGGACTAATTTTTATAGACTTAGGCTCTCTTTCTCAAGAAGAGCCCTAGTCAACTAGGCATAAACTAGTGTTTGCAACCACTAATTCAACATTAAAACCATAAATTAGTCCAAATATCAAACACCCATAGACATTGAAGCCTTAAAACACAAGACCCATCAATTACCCACATTAGGGTTGAGCCACAACCCTAGCTGATGGGTCTAGCTACTCATGATAATAGAGGAAAATAAAGAAATAGATGAAGAAAAACCCATAATATTTAATTACTAACTAAAACTTGAAGATTCAATGATAAAACTATTGTAAAATTACTCAAAATGGTAAAAGGACACTATTCACGAGCGCAACTCAGATTAAAATTATAACTGATGACCTAAAAATGGAAAAGAAACTATTTATACTAGCCAAAAATTCTGGACAAAAATATCCCTGCGGGACTAGTGCGGACCGCACAAAATCAAGGCCGCACTAAGGCTCTTGGCTGAAATTTCTGCTATCTGAACTTGGCCACCGCGGGCCACACAAAATGCACCGCGGCCGCGGTGGCTTCTGTTGCAGTCCGCACAAAATGGATCTCGGACCGCATTGGTAATGTTCCTCCAACTTGGCAACTCTCTGAACTTGAGCTTTGCGGACCGCACAAAATCGAGTGCGGCCGCAATGAAGTCAATGCGGTCCGCATGAAATGATTTGCGGCCGCATTGCTTGGCTGCCTGAAATGAGCACTCTCTGAACCTCCTCTTTGCGGACCGCACAGAATAGAGTGCGGCCGCATTGGTCCTGTTATACTGAGCTTGGACTTGTTCTTGGTACTTGTGCATGTTTCACTCCTTTTTGAGCTGGTTTTGACGGGTTGTCACCTCGTTGACTAAACCGTGCAATCAAGTACAACATGTGAGCCTTTGAACTATTTTGTACACCTTTCTAATCAAACTCAAGTAAAAAGGAATGTAAAACACTCGCTACACAATAAGGTGAAAAGGTATGATATAAGAGGAAGTTGATAGAAAGCTTATTAAAATTACAGCCTCCATACGAAAACGGAAAAAATTAAAAGAGGCGTGATATTTGTGCTAGTGTGAGTACCGAAGGAATGAAAGAACAAAGAGGAGGAAGAATATCCAAGGAAGCTTTGGAGTACCACAAAATAGTATCAATACCCTCCCAAGTTCCAACCAATCTCAGCCTGTTAATTCACACCAACCCTATTTTGCTCCTTCCCAATTGTCTAGCCCACGAGTATCAACTTCTTGTTTTACACTTACATTTAATACACTCACGTACCCTATATACAAGTCAATAAAATATCAACCAACAATGACCTTCACAAAATACAAAGAATAATATCAACCCACAATGACCATCAAATAGATTTACTCTGTTCTATTTTATATTTACTCCCTCGGGTCCACAATAGTATGGGATCAATTTGCTTTTGGCAAACCCATTAAAAAAAATATTAAATTCTATACAGAAATATTAGTATAATTAAATTATCCTTAATTAAATATTTAATATGAGCAGTAAGAAATTTTTTTAAGAATATGTACATAACTATAATCTTGTAAAAATAAATTGAAGTCTTTCTTGATTATATGAATGGACAGTTATTTTGGACCAAATAAAAAAAAAAAAAAAAAACCCTTTACCTTCCAAAAGCCAAATAAACCAAAAGCGCCTTTTTATTCAGTTCTGCTCAACAACCCCTTCAATGGCTTCTTGATATCTCTCTCATCTCTCTCTCTCTCTCCTAGTTTATATCGCTCAGAATTTTCTAAATCTCTCATAATTTGGTGTATGAATTCATGGCTTCTTCTTCACTCTCTAGCATCTACTCCCCTTCTTCTTCTTCTTCTTCTTCATCTTTCAAAACTGAAGTGAAATCAATTCACAAAATCACTTCTTCCCAATTGGGTTCAATCCCCCTGCCCGGAAAATCAAGATTCCATGTTCACGCGGTGGCGCGTGAATTGTCCACCGGCGGCAACAACGACGTCGTATTGAAGAAGAAGGAGAACATTGGGTTAGAGAAAGACCCAAAGTCCCTATGGAAGAGATATGTAGACTGGCTTTACCAGCATAAGGAGCTGGGTTTGTATTTGGATATCAGTCGGGTCGGGTTCTCCGACGAGTTCCTTGAGGAAATGGAGCCCCGTTTGCAGAAGGCGTTTAAGGACATGGTGGAATTGGAAAAAGGTGCAATTGCAAACCCAGATGAGGGAAGAATGGTGGGTCATTATTGGCTGAGGAGTCCTCATCTTGCTCCTAACTCATTTCTCCGGTTGCAGATTGAGAATACTCTTGAATCTGTTTGTCAGTTTGCTAATGATGTCGTCAGTGGTAAGGTCAGTTCAAGTCAGCCCTTTTCTTTGACTTTAAATCATCTTGAGGTGTAGTTGATTGGTCTTCATTAGTTTGATAGCCTTCTGTTTTGCTTGAATAATATTGATCTCTAAAAATCTTAACTTTACCCAATTTGATGATTTTTTTAATCAATCAATTGGTATTTCAAGTCAATATATGAGGAATATGGTTCAGTGATTGTTACTTGAAAATAAGGAACTTAGGATATTAAGCCTATGAGAAAATGCTTAAGAAATGTAATGTTGGTTCCTAACTTCTAAGTTGTGAAAGCACTTCTTCTTGAGTTTTTATTTCTTTATCCTCCAAAAGAATATTTTGCCACTTCTGGAATTGGTTATTGGTTGTTATATCTGTGGCGCTTTAATCAACCTAGTGTGAATTACGACATCTATTTTGCAGATCAAGACTCCTTCTGGTGGCCTATTTACGCAAATTCTTTCTGTTGGAATCGGTGGTTCAGCGCTTGGACCGCAATTTGTAGCTGAGGCATTGGCTCCTGACAACCCTCCTCTGAAGGTAATTGGAAGTTGTGTTCAAAAGACCAGTGATTGTTCTGTTGTGAGATTTATGGGTTAACCAAACTCACTCTTTTAGCTGTAAACTGTTAAGGGGTTTTATCAAATGTTCCTCACACTCAAAGCCTGTGAAAATCAAAAGAAATAAGTCTTTTCAGTCAGCTTTGTGTCTCGAGTATATTTCTCAACATGGTGCAATTACCCTTTTCTTTTTATAAGGTAAAATAGAACATGCTGTGAGTTACTATATCATAAAATTGATGGTACCTCACCATCTAATGTGCACCTTTACTTAAATTAGTTTTTTGTACAACGGTGTAAAATCGGATTAAAAGTTCTGTGTGTACTTTACTTAACATGGCTATCAAAGTTGATGAAATATTTTGATCTCGCCAAGCTGGTGTTTTCTCTTTTATATGGTCCAGAAGTTTACCGCATAACATCAAAGCCAATGTAAGTGCCTTGGCTTAATATTATCCTCTATTCTTTCATATCTATTGATTGTCATGGTATTGCTTCTCTGGCATGTCAAGCAATAATGAATTTTTTCACACGCAAAAAGAAGTAATAGTGAATATGTCCATGGAACAGTTTTCCTCTCATTAACGGTGTAGATAAAGTCAAATGATGCAAAATAACTTGTGTAGAAAAAATTAATGAGAAGGACTTGAAATATAGATTGTCTTCTACATTGTTTATAACAAATATACACGGTGACTTTCCTTGTTGTAAACATGCGTTGAACTCTTCCTTGCCTTTTTGTCCGTTCTCCCACGTTGTAAATGATTCTCTCGCTGCAAGATCCATTTTGTTCGCTGCAGAATTTTCATTGTTGTAGTTACCTTTTTTCCCTTATACCATTCTGTATCTTCTCTTGGCAGATAAGATTCATCGACAACACAGATCCAGCAGGCATTGATCATCAAATTGCACAACTTGGGCCTGAGCTGGCTTCAACACTTGTTATTGTTATTTCAAAGGTGGTTATGCATGTACTTTCTGCTTTTTTGTTGTTTTCTTAGCATAGATAGAGACCTTTCTGATAGACTGATACACTATTTGTGAATCTCTTTATATTACTTAGAGTGGAGGCACTCCAGAAACCCGAAATGGCTTGTTAGAAGTTCAGAAGGCCTTTCGTGAAGCTGGCCTGGAATTTGCAAAACAGGTTTTGACCTCAGGTTCTTTTTGCTGCTTTCATAATTTTCTCCATAGTGCGGAGTTGCTTTCTGATGAATGTCGTATCTAGTTAAGCAAATAAAAGTTCAACGGAAGAAATTGAGAGAATATAATGACTGGTCTACCTCTGTTTAATCTGCGTTTGCTGGTTGAGGAATAAAAGTTTCTGCCTGGTCTGTTATCCTCTGGTTCTGTCATTTTTGTTCAATCTCTATTTTAGTTTAGATTGCAGTTGTACATAGCATTATTCTTAAATAATTATAAGTGTTGCTTACTGCCATTCGTGTGCAGGGTGTTGCCATTACACAAGAGAACTCTTTACTCGACAACACCGCTAGAATTGAGGGTTGGTTAGCCAGATTCCCTATGTTTGATTGGGTGGGTGGAAGAACCTCTGAATTGTCTGCAGTTGGTTTACTTCCGGCTGCACTTCAGGTTTGTCTCCTAACGTCAAATTTCTACTCCCACTCTTTATTTAAACATCACACTTTTAACCACTTTAAACATGCCAAACTTCTCGACACAATTTTAGAAGGAAGAATATTTCATGTACCTCTCACAAGTTTCAGAAATTCAATTAAATGTGTAATTGAAATGTGAAGATTGGTCTGATCTTGTCTTTGTCAAATTAATTTATGTATAACCTCCGGAACTTGCTTACACTTTTAATTTACCAAGCATGTACTATATAGGTAAGCTGCCCTGACCTTGGAGCAACGGTAAAGTTGTCTCCGTGTAACCTATAGGTCGCGTCTTCGAGCCGTGGAAGCGGCCACTAGTGCTTGCATTAGGGTAGGTTGTCTACATCACACCCCTGGCGTGCGGCCTTTCCCCGGTCCCTGCGTGAATGTGGGATGCTTTGTGCACCGAGCTGAAGAAGAAAGTATTATATAGGTAGGACTTAGCTCATTATAATCCAAGGCCAGCGGGACTATGTCGCATAGGATGAGATACAGGGAACTTGTTTCATCTTTGCTTAGAGCATTTCTATCACATTTTGCCTTCATATTCTTTTTTCACTCCAGGGAATTAATATTAGAGAGATGCTTACTGGTGCTGCATTGATGGACGAAGCAAACAGGACAACTGTGGTATGACCATATGGCCTTTTTCATGTTCTTTTGGCAAATAAAAGTATGACTCTTTAGAGTTTGAATTTTTGAGAATAACTTGAAACTTTTCCAAGAACATTGCATTGAACAAATTTCTTTGTGGAATTGTTTGGGCTATATTTTTCTCGTTTGACTTGTGGAGAGGGGTGCTAGAACAAATTGATGATTAACAAATTATTTGTCATCAGGTTCGGGATAACCCAGCAGCTCTACTTGCTTTGTGTTGGTACTGGGCCACTGATGGAGTTGGATCGAAGGTCTGAATCACCTTCAAATTTGTGTTTCTGATGACGGAGGAGCATATAGTTGTATATTTGACTATGATGGTGGATATGCTGTTTCTTATGTGTTGCAGGATATGGTTGTCCTCCCGTACAAGGACAGTTTATTACTATTCAGTAGGTATTTACAGCAGCTTGTCATGGAGTCTCTTGGAAAAGAGTTTGACCTGGACGGAAACCTGGTATTTTCCCATATTTCTCATGCTTTTCATTTTCGTCGTTGAAAACCAGACTTAATAGATGCATTTCCACTTATGATTTATGCTAACTGATAACTAATATTAACTTTAAGTGATACATGACCATGGTCTTGCATATCATCTTTCCTTTCCTCCTTGTCATTAGAGAGGGTTTTAGTCTGGTAGTTGAGGAATTCTGCTGTTATTGCTGGCATTAACTTAGTATATTCATGTCCTTGTCCACTCCCTATTTATTTTATTCCAACTGAGTTTATCTAGGTAAATGGCAGTAATTTGTGGCAACGAGTACGCGTGAGTTTCTTTTTAAAATTGCAGCTACCTGTGGCTAATACTTATCCGTCATTAGCCTATAACTGAACCAAGTTTGAATCCTTATTCTCTCCTAAAAAACATGATGTCCCAGTATTTATCTGAACTACTGTTGCTTCATGTGCCATCACTGCCGTAAAAGTCTTCTATAATTGTCGGAAAAGCCTTCCTTCCACTTTGGCCATAGAGTTTCTGTTCACTCGCACCGCATCAATAAAGCTCTAGCTGAAATGCCTCAGTAGTACATTGCCGCATCCATTTCTCTGGAAGTTTCTTCTGCGTTCCTATCAGTCCCTATCACTTATTCATCTAACCATACATGCACCAACTCAACGTAAAAGGAACCATTTAAATTACTCTTCTTGTCCTCTGTTGTAGATTTTACTCTTAATAAAAACAATTTGCGCTGTTGGAAATGTAATGCGATTTTCCTCTGTTTAAATCCTTTAATATCTTTTCTGTACCTGCCTTGTCCTTTGTTTACTTATCTAGCTGTTAAAGGAAGTTCAGTTATGAATAAAATCTCCCTTCATTCACTAATCTAGGCTGTTGACTGAACTTCAGTTGTGAATAAGATTCCTGGCGTTTATGTTTATCCATTTTTTGCCATTCACAGGTGAATCAAGGGATCAGCGTTTATGGAAACAAAGGGAGTACAGATCAGCATGCGTAAGTTGAGAATGTGTTTTCACTTATTACAAAAGGAAAGCGTAAAAAAGAAAATGAAAAAAAGCTGATGTTCTTTTTTCTGAAGTTTGTTAAAGTATTTGCAAACCTGTCGTCATTTCACCTTTAAAAAGTTATACTCTTTTTCTTGTGTCCAGCTATATTCAACAACTCCGAGAAGGCGTGCACAATTTCTTTGCAACATTTATTGAAGTATTGCGTGATAGGCCCCCTGGTCATGATTGGGAGCTTGAACCTGGTGTTACCTGTGGTGACTACCTCTTTGGAATGTTACAGGTTTGTCTTCTAATATTTTAGTTAAGTGGAAAGATCCGAAGGGGGAGGGGGAGGGGGAGGGGGAGGTCTAGTGCAAGAAAGGCAAGATGCTTACAAAAGGCTTCATGTAATGAGAGGTCATACATGGGTATCACTTTATAATTTTGCGTCATATTGCCAGTTACTGACCTACTTGCATTTGGTATTGATAAACAGAAGATAAGTGTACTGGTAATTGAGATGACACTCATTCTTTTAGCATTTTCCCTGTTTAGAAAAGGAATACGTTGCTGGTTAATTTGTAAAAAGTTTGACCTAGGATCTTTTTGTAACAGAATCACACCCTTTGTGAGCTGTGTTAAAGACTTTTTCCTTCCACACTCCACAGTTAACGATTTTTTCTACTTTTCTGTTTTCTTTTTCTCCCTATTCAAAAGGTTGATCCATGTTTTGCCAGGGAACAAGGTCGGCTCTGTATGCGAACGATAGAGAGTCCATCACAGTCACTGTGCAGGAAGTGACACCTAGATCTGTTGGAGCTCTGGTGGCACTCTATGAGCGAGCTGTTGGGATTTATGCCTCACTTGTCAACATTAACGCTTATCATCAACCTGGTATTTCCTTTAGCCTTTTGTTTTTTACGTGGACTTAATAGGAGCTGAATTATTGATGTTTGTTTATGTATACCATCTCTAATTGAAACCGCGAGTCTTTATCTACCTGTATCATGGTTGAATAATAATTAGATACGTTTTACAGACAAGGAATATAACATTGGCTATTCAATTGAAGTGAATATATGTCGTTTTCATTCAAGACCGACTAACATCTAATATGTTGTCAGGTGTGGAAGCTGGCAAAAAAGCCGCTGGAGAAGTTCTTGCGCTTCAAAAGCGTGTCCTTGCTGTGCTCAATGAGGCCAGGTATGTTGATGAGATCTTAGTTCCTCTTTCTTGGGTTGGAAAATACTGATGCAAATTCTTTTCTTTCAAATTCTCTCTTTGGTGAGATGGCTGCTATTAACTATGCTATTTCTTTCTCCAGCTGTAAAGAGCCTGTCGAACCACTTACACTAGAAGAAATAGCTGAGCGTTGCCATTGTGAAGAAGATGTATGTTCCATCTCTTTATGTCTTTCTTCAATTTTTCTTTATTTACACATGCAACATGATGCAACTTGCTGACTGCCCTTTGCAAATTTGGCAGATCGAAATGATCTATAAGATTATTGCACACATGGCTGCTAATGACAGAGCTCTTATTGCCGAAGGTAGTTGTGGTTCTCCTCGGAGTGTAAAAGTTTATCTGGGCGAGTGCAATGTTGACGAGTTATATGCCTAGATTTTGCATTAAACATTCTTATGATTCTGCACATCTGAGAAATACATCTGTGCCCGAGATTGGGTCCGGCCTTGTGGTGGCTGATTATTGGGGGGGATTCCTAACTGCTGTTGTTAAGCAATAAAAATCTAATTTTTTTCTTTCAAAGCACCATGTTCACATGCATTGGCTGTATCGAGCATATTAGCGTCCCCATGATCAAATAAATTTCAGTAAGCTAAGTTTGTTGGTGTAGCTCCTATTTATAATTTGCTCTGCTCACCCTCTTTTTTCTTATTGATTAAACATTTAATACCACCAATTTTGATGGTATGGCGTGAAACTTGACATTCCATTGATACAATTGTGATCTTTAGCATTCTTGTCGCGAACCATTTTAATGTACCAAAAGTTCCATAGGTCCATCAGTAGGGAGAAGTGGAAGAAGAATTCCCATTGTGTGGGAAGGGGAAAAAGAAGCGTTGCGCTCCACAATTTCTATTGTTGATTCATGATTGTTTTAACTTGTTTTTACAAAGAATGGTTGGTGGAATCTTGGCTGGTGGTCCAGTTCTTGTTGTTTGCAGTCCTTTTCCCTACTGTGGTATGAGGGACTGGTGAATTGGTGTCGATTCCAGCATGTTTGATTTGAACTTGTTGGATGTACCTCCTCAGTATCTGCCTCGGATCACCAAATATTTGTTAGAAAAGGACCGACAACTCAAATCAAGCTAATGAGTACATCTTTGGTCAGATTCAAAATATTGCATTGTTTGGGTAGTGTGAGGGTAAACTGGGTTCTCCCATAAATATTTTGATGTTCAAACTCCGTAGATTACTCCTGTAATGCTGTGAGATATATTCAACAAGGAAACTACCTGACCCAATAACAACAACAACAACAAACCCAGTGTAATATAGTATAGAGGCTGTTTCCGATAGGCAAGAAGTTAGAGGTCAGTATCCCAGATAATTACAGTATTACATGTACTAATTGATACTGTGATGTAACTTGGTACTTGTATCAACAAGTTCAATTGAAGTGATTGAATCTGCTTTTTTCATACTGATAGTCGCCTAGCTACCTCCAAGTTACATCACTATATCAATTACTTGTACAATTGTAATTTCGTAAGTGCAAGAACTTCGTAACGACATTTTCTATTTTCACTTACTCGAATAATTCAGATTTATAACGTAAATGCTTACTAAAAGGGGGCAATGCACTCCTTCCCGGAAGGTTTTTCATACCCGGATTTCAAATTCAAAATTTGGAAAAATGAAATTGTATAGTCGCTCTCAAAAAAAAAAAAAAAAAAAAATATATATATATATATATATATATATATTATGCATGTTATATATAAATTTTATACACTTTTTCGAATACCGAATATAAATACTTTCTGGTACGGGCAAAAAGTAAAAAAAAGCCCAATTTTTTTTGGTTAATAGATGACAGATCACTAGTTCACTACCATCCCACTACGTCTATCATTGTAGTGATGCAACTGGAGTGGGAAGTGCACAGTTAGCTACTAATTAGAGATGTCTTTACTCTTTAGCCACTGTTTAAAATGTATTTACTCCAGTGCTTAATAAATTTTTATCCACCCGGACGAAAATACCCCTGTGCTTGACATGGGTGCTGTGTAAATATTAAGGACATAATGTCCTTAACTTCATAAATGCTGTGTAAATATTAAGGACAAGGTGTCCTGTCATATGTTCTTAACTTCATATGTGCAGTGTAAATGTTAAGGACATGGTGTCCTTAACTTTATGTGTGCAGTATAAATGTTAAGGACATAATGTCCTTAACTTGTATTTGCACCTTTTGTTGTTAAACTTTAGGACCTCATGTCCGTAACTTCATATATGCACTGTAAATGTTAAGGACATAGTGTCCTTACCTTTATGAGTGTTGTGCAAATATTAAGGAAATAGTGTCCTTAACTTCATGAATGCTGTGTAAATATTAAGGACAAAGTGTCATGTCAAGTCCTTAACTTCATATGTGCAGTGTAAATGTTAAGGACATGGCGTCCTTAACTTCATGTATGTAGTGTAAATGTTAAGGACACCATGTCCTTAATATTTACACAGCACTCATGAAGAAAGGGTAAAAACGTCTTTTCATATTAATTTTAATAGAGTAGTGGCTATTTTTACTCAACATTAAAGATACAAGATAAAAACTAAATACCATGTTAAAAAGTGACTATCCCACGCTATTTCTATGCAACTGGATTAATTAGGGGCATTTGCATCTATACCCACTTTTTGTGTCACGTTTTAACTTGTGCCCGCTTTGCAAAAAAAATTACAAGCGTACCCGCTTTTTCGCATAACTTCAGCATACGGGGCTGAAGTAGCAAAGGCAATCACGCAAAACTTCAGCATTTAGTAGCCGGGCCTGAAGTTCAGCTCTAGAGCTGAACTTTTTGTTTTGTAACCGGGAGCTGAAGTTTTTATTTTATAACTGACGAACTTCAGCTCTAGAGCTGAAGTTTTTGTTTTGTAACCGGAAAACTTCAGCTCTAGAGCTGAAGTTTTTGTCTTTGTAACCGGGAAAGAGCTGAAGTTTTTGTCTTTGTAACAGGGAAACTTCAGCTATAGAGTGTTCAATATAGCAACATGCATAGCATTTTGGAGCTGAAGTTTTTATTTTATAGCTGGCGAAGTTTTTGTCTTTGTAACCGGGAAACTTCAGCTCTAGACCTGAAGTTTTTGTCTTTGTAACCGGGAAAGAGCTGAAGTTTTTGTCTTTGTAACAGGGAAACTTCAGCTATAGAGTGTTCAATATAGCAACATGCATAGCATTTTGGATTGCTGTTAAGCATTTCTGAGCAATCTGGGCAGTGCTTTAATAGCTCATTTTGACGAATGAAAAGACTGACTAAGTCTGAAGTAGAATTTCCAAACAAGCAAACATACCTTTGAACGCAAGTTCTAAGAAATGGTAGAGAAATTCCTCATCTGACTTAGTCTTTAATTGGAATATGACTTTCCAATATTCACCAGAAAACTTCCTTAAGAATATATTGCATCCATGCTATAAATTTCCACTCATTAACTCGATCTGCAATAAGCACAACGTCTGGCTTTTGTCATTGAGGTAAAATGGAAGCAAGAAAAGCAAAGATGGTGCATTCAGAATTTCAAGATTTGCTACCAATTATGGCCAGAAATCTAGGAGGAGATGCACTGATCAGCGAGCTATGCAAAGGGTACCGAAGTTTAATGGATGGTGACAAAGGAGTGATCACACTTGATAGCCTAAAGAAGAATTTTACGATTAACTAGTTCATTTCTCCATAATACTATCCACCCCTCCCTCCCCAAACCGCCCCACCCCCCTCCCCTCCTCAAACCTTATTATTTTTCTCTTTTGGCTTTAATTCCTGATACTGTTTTTTTTTTGTTGGGCACGGTCACACTCACACCGACGAAGAAATGATTAAGGGATCTTTAATTTGAATAGACCAATCAGTGATCAAATATTCAAATGTTTGTATTGTAGGTGATATGATAAACATAAAGAAGTGGATAGGCTCCTTGGCAGCAATAGATGCCATAATCCCATATTGTAAGAAGATAATCAAATTTAAACAATTTGCCTTATACGCCAAATTGACACTTAATGCAGTAGATATGTCATTATCAGCAAAGTTGAATTTTTTTCGAGTACGTAATTCATTCTAATTAACTTCCAGGAAAGCATAAGCAAGCAATAAAGCAATGCTGACATGAACAGCTGTTACATAAATCTGTGGAGAGCAGGCATTTTGAACTTGACGTAAAGAGTTTCTAAAATTGCAACTTAAATTTTAGGGGAAATGGCCGTTTTCGTCCCTGTATTATTACCTAATTGTGCTCTTAGTCCCTCTGATTTTTTCAGATGCTCTAGTTATGATACCCAAATTACCCTTGGTACTAGCAAAACTTCTGTTTGCAGCGTTAAAGGACTAATATCACTCACTTTCATTAATTGAAGGTTAGACGCACTAACTCAAATATCATAGGGACTAAAAACGCAATTAGGTAATAACATAGGGACGAAAATGGCCATTTCCCCTAACTTTACCACAATATTAATTGTAGTATCATGAATTTGAATTCAAGTAACCGTTAAATAATACTCCCTCTGATCCACAATAAGTGACCATTTTGCCTTTTTATTTTGGTCCAAAATAAGTGTCCATTTATATAATCAAGAAAAAATTTAATTTGTTTTTCCACATATCCCTAAAAAGTCTTTTACTCCTCACATTAACTATGCCGCAATATTTAATTAAGGGTAGTTTAGTCACACTAACTATTTTTGTCTAAAATTTAGTATTTCCTTACTCGGTGTGCCCAAGTCAAATTGATCACTTATTGTGGACCGAAGGGAGTAAAGATAAGTTGAATATCCCACTTTAATGTTAATTATGCTGAAAAAGATACCCAAACCAAAACTGAATACTCCCTCCGGTCCACAATAAGCGACCAATTTGCTTTTGGCACGCCCATTTAGAAAATACTAAATTCTATACAAAAATACCTAGTATGACTAAACTACCCCTAATTAAATATTTAATGTGAGGAGTAAGAAAACTTTTTAGGGATATGTACATAAGGGTAATTTTGTAAAAACAAATTGAATTCTTTCTTGACTATACAAATAAACACTTATTTTGGACCAAAATAAAAAAGCAAATTGGTCAATTATTGTGGACCGGAGGGAGTAACGTTAAAGCGGGATAAACAAAGACGAGACTTTCCTCGTACTCCAAAAAAACAACAAAAGAGTTGTATCATTGGAAAAGATTAATTGTAGCTTTGTTTATGTGTTAAACCTTTTATGTAGGGCACACTTTATGGTTGTATTAATAAAGAACCAAACTAAATTTTGGACCCACTAACAAATCTGCTGCTTCTTTCGAAATTCAAATTAAAGTTGTTTCTTGATTTTTATTTTGTATAATGTCAAAGGCGTCAACACCATAATGCTAGTATAGGTTATCACAATTAAGCCTCAAAGCTTTAGTTTAGTGGCAAAACTGAATTATTGACATGTTAAGTTGTTGGCTTTGAATCCTCTTGAAAGTAATTTGTATTTATTTCTCCCTTATAAGTAACTTGTGTATACCGTCGAAATCAGGTATGCTCGATTTTCCGGGTTCGAGGAGTCGCCATAAGCCCGAGTTCAGGCAAGGTCGAGTTCGAGCTCGATGGACCAGACTCGAGCTCGAAGACAGAGTGCAATGTTCGAGGATCGAAG